AACCATATGCAATATTAGCGTTGCATTTACAACGCCTAATGATATTTCTATATTTATGGAAGATCTTAAACCTGTTCATTCACAATGATTAATCATTATTTCAATTTAATTGACAATGGATGCCTTTTTTTAAATTATGAGATAAACTTTCAATTGTTTCTAATAAATTCGTCAACTTCCTTTACTTATACAGCACGATACCTTAATAGCCTGCATATGGAGTTTATATATCTCAGTTGATTTGATACCCGAAAGCATGCTACATGTATGAACAATTTCTAAAACGAGGTAAATTATCGACAAACAGTTACATATAGTTCTCGAACGGATGGTCCATCATTAAGTTTTTCCTTGATGTGAGAATTCCAAAGTATTAATCTGTATAATCAATCGTTATTCAATTGTTACAATGAATGAGTACATACCCTTAAATCAACTTCAGTGAACTTACATTAATCTTATTGGTTATTTAAATAAATAATTTTTATATCTATTGAATACTATATCAAGTGAAATTTGATTAAACGTACTTATTTAAATAAAGTCGTTCCATTCAGAATAATAAATTAAAGTTGTATTTAAAATTTCGGATTTCTTCATATTTTCATTATCCAATATAAATTGAAGTCTCAATCAATAAGCCTGACAGTGTGTTTAGCAAAATATACATCAAAAATAAACATAAACACATACATGTATTGAAGATATAAAAAAAGAATTTACCATAGATTACTGTCTGCTGTTGTATCTTTTATAAGTTATGTGTTAACCATTTCTTAAACAAGTGAAAATATCCCTTTTAAATACATTATTTGTATCAAAAAATGACGTCAACGAATACGATTACATTTATATAAATATACATGCATGTTATTAAGTCCTTGTAAAAAAAAACTACCATGATAAATTAATTTCTGTATTTAGAAAGAAATAATATAAGGTTTATCTACCTTTACTTTTGAAATGCGATATTGATCTGAAGCAGAGAATCTTCATTAAAGATGCCATTCATCTGACGTATTGCTGTTGATATATTGTTAATAACTCAACTATACGTATCTACCAGAACTTATTTAGCTTTCAACAGGGTTCACAATAAGCTCAAATGAGATAGACATGCATGGAAAATAATTCAATCATATATATTTTTCTTGGTAAGAAGGATATGGAGATAATCCACAAAGTCCATAAAACAATATTGTTTTATTTAGTTTTACGCAGCTTAGGCCCTCCCTCGAACTTTTTAAGTATATATATCGGAAAATATATCTAATGTTTGCTTGCCGTCTCCCTACTCAGGGTTGAAAAAATATAAATTGCAGGTTGGTGAAAAATCATCTCTTTTTTCAGAAAATTCAACTCACGCTTACAATGACAGAATGGAAAAACAAACCTAAAAAAGAAAAATATCCTGGTTTCTTGAGGTTAAATTTTTTTTAGACCGGCCATTTTTAGCCAGTTGGCCGGTGAAGAGAACAAACAAACAATGTTTTAAAGAAGGCCTAACAGATAATTTGTTAATACTGGTCATAGGAATTAAAGCACAAAAAGTCACGAGATCAGTGTTAAATGTTAGCTTTATTGCATACAAACGACAACATGGCAAGTGTGATTAAGGTCTAACAGGACCAGAACATTGATACATCATAGCTTACAGTCTTTTCAACAAATTCAACAAAGGCCACCAAAAGATCACCATAAATGTGTCGAGTAATAAGTTAACCTTATGCACAAGAAAAACAATCTTTAAGACACATGCGAATTATTGACATCGAGCATGCAATATACAAAAAAGACATTTATGTTCCTCTGTTATTATGCAAGACCGAAGCCAAGTCAACTGAGCTAGTTTTTTGATGGATTAGAATTAAAATAACAACAGTAGTGAAAGTGAAAAAATGTCATTTATTGAAGTAAATGACGCAAAACAAAATATAAAGATATTATAAGGGGGTCAGACAAGACTAGAAAAAACTTTGAAAGAATACAAAAATCTTTGGTAACATATTATGCAATCTGACTTCCTAAAATTACATATATCATAAAGCAGGCACTGATATGTCTGTCATCAAAAAAGGGTGGGTTAAAAGAAAATAAACGCCAAACAAATAAATATGAACACTAATACAAGTACATATATAACAAATATAATATAAGACGGTGGAAGAAAGGGGGATGGATGGGGGGTTTTTTCGATAAAAAAATTCCTTGTAAATTTGTGTGGCTTTCTCCTTTGGTAAAAAATAAAACAATGGTCACGTGATTAGGAGAAGCCACGCTGATTGGCTGTAAATTAAGACAATGGTGTCATAGATTAAAATTAGGTAATTGATCCCGATCTAAATAGTTTTAAACATGAAACAACTTTACATCAATTACCAAATAAAACATGTTACCTCAGAAATAAATTATAACAAATAAAACAATTATAGTTAATATAACTCTGTCACATAAAGGATATTATTATTGTAATAATAATAACTTATTTATGTTCCTCTGTAATTATGCAAGACCGAAGCCAAGTCAATTGAGCTAGTTTTTTGATGGATTAAAATTAAAATAACAACAGTAGTGAAAGTGAAAAAATGTCATTTATTGAAGTAAATGACGCAAAACAAAATAAAAACATTTTATAAGGGGGTCAGACAAGACTAGAAAAAACTTTGAAAGAATACAAAAATCTTTGGTAACATATTATGCAATCTGACCCCCTAAAATTACATATATCATAAAGCAGGCACTGATATGCCTGTCATAAAAAAATGGTGGGTTAAAAGAAAATAAACGCCACAATCCAATTGCAAATTGGATCCACCAAAAAAGACATGCATGTATTTTTTTCAAGTTTGCATCCCATTATATTCTCATGAACTGGATAGATTTTAGAAAACAAATGCGACTCTGGAATCCTATGGAATCCGGATAGGGCCATGCAGTTCACTATCGCATCATCGCACCATCGAGGTTTGGGTTGATAATGCGATGACACGATAATGCGATGACGCGATAACGATGAAGTGATGGTGCGATAGTGCGATGACGATGAAGCAATGGCGCGATAATGCGATGACGATGGTACGATAGCACGATGAAGCGATGGTGCTATGACACGATGGTGCGATAGCGATGACACTATGGTGCGATAACGATGGCGCGATGGTACGATGACGATGAAGCGATATTCACTTTTCCTCTATCGCTCTATCGCATCATCGCCATCGCATTATCGCACCATCGCATTATCGTCATCGCGCTATCGCGTCATCGCTTCATCGTTATCGCACTATCGCGTTATCGTAAAATCGACTCAAATCTCGATGGTGCGATGATGCGATAGTGAACTGCGTGGCCCTATCCGGATTCCATAGAATCCGGAGAGGGCCATGCAGTTAACTATAGCACCATCGAGCATCGACTTAAAGGTCGATGGCGCGATAAGGATGAAGCGATGGAGCATATGTGCGATAATGATGATGATGCTATGGCACGACATTCGATGAGAATGGTACGATAACAGGATCAGGCGATATTGCGATGACGCAAATTGATTTTAAAAAATTTAATATGTCTAAACCTAATCGCGTCATCGCATTATCGCCTGATCCTGTTATCGTACCATTGTCATTGCATTGTCGCGCCATCGCATCATCATCATCATCATCATCATCATCATCATCGCGCAAATGCTCCATCGCTTTATAGTTATCGCGCCATCGACCCTTGAGTCGATGCTTGATGGTGCTATAGTCAACTGCATGACCCTATTTGGATTTTATAGGATTTCATATATATGCTTCACCTCATTCATGCGTATATGCATAACTGACTATGAACGAAAAGTGGAACATAACAATTAAATTTTATTACAAACGCAAAAAGTCAGCTGTTTCATATTCGAGTTTTCTTCTTTATTTCGTAAAATTTAGATATCGTCTTCATATATGGTATAGTCGCCCGCGTCGCGCAATGGTTAGAGCGTCTGCTCTAGAGGCGCGAAGTAAGGAGTTGGATACTTACGTCGCGGGTTCGATTCCCACTGTGGGATGTGGACACCGGTCCTTTGGATGAGACGGTATAAACAGAGGTCCCGTGTCGCAGTAGGTGCTGGCACGAAAAAGATCCCTCCCTGTTCAATATCCCTGTTTGCCGAGCATAGGACAAAATTTGAAGCTTTCCAACGGCAAGTTGTTGCGTCACCAAATGTGTCAAAAATTCTCGAGATAGATGTTAAACAACAATTGATCAATCATATATGGTATAAATGTTTCTGAACTTATATTATTTGAAGCTCATAAAACAGGTTCTGATGGTATTTAATTTCAACCCAGAGGAGATATTAACAGATGTTTCATGAATTTCCAAAACCCAGTTCAACTCAGTATTTCCTAAATTTTATTAGTCATTGTGGTAATCTTTTGAGCAAATATAGGCCTATTTGCTATTTTAAAGGATTAGAGACCAAATTTACTAACGGCATTGTCTGCAAATTAAAGAAGGGGTTTTTTATGCTATCACCTACTGCGACACATGATTTTTTTTTTTCATATGGTGTCATCCGAAGGCGAAGTCTCCTTGTCTCGCAATGCTTTCTTTTCATGATTAAAGTCTATCATAAGAAAGTTTGCTTTTGTTAATTTAATTGCTAATTTATTGGGATTTAAAACCACTGAAGGTTTAATCTACTTATCAAAGTGAAATAAATATTTGTGGTCCGGCCTGGCCGAAAATGCATCGGGTTCACCTGGCAATTTTTACGTTATTTATCAGTTCCATTCATAGTTGGGGGTATAAGTAGCACCTAACAAGGAACTCTTATATTATAATATATTAATGTTTCAAAATACATTCCAAAGATACAGCTGAGACTAAGGCAATAAAATACATTTTATTCAGAAAAGTGTATATTTATATGTTTCAAATTAAAAACCATTTAAACAAATGTCGCAGATTTTTTTATGAGCTAAAATTCAGTCAAAGTTTTGGTCATGACATTTTTCTCATTTTCATTTGTTCTTTGAAGATGTAGAAGAAAGTAAATCTGGTAAACTAGTTAATAAAAGAAAATAGGTTTCTTGTTACATAGAGTCTTTACACTATGCTCTGTCAAAATTACATAAGTACACGATGATTGTTTTCTTTCTTCATTGCACTTCTTTCTCAAGCACAAAATAAACGACACTGTCCTCTTTTCCCTTAGATATCTCCTCTGAGGGGTCACTACAGGTCGGATCATCTTCTCTCTTATCGAAATCATTTAAAATGATTCCTGAAGACCCTGTTCTGTTTTCCTGACAGGTTGATATAACAAAAGGTACAGGTGTTGTGTGACTGTATGAGTTACCTCCCTCTGGTGTATTTGTGTCATGCAGGTGGTCATACACATTACACTCTTTGGATCTAATTTCAGAGGATATTAGCTTCTTTTCGCTTAGAGGACCGTATGGTGGCTTTGTGAAATTTTGCTGAAAAAATCTAAACACATTAACATATTGTATTTATTGATTTAAATTAAAATCAAGTTGACATTTCATATAGTTTCTTTTTAATTATTGTCATTTGCAGTAAACAAACGTTTTATTTACCCTATTCAATACAATTTAAATATACAGTAAACAGACATTTTATCTTAACTATTCTATACAAATGTAACAATTTACACATGTTATTAAACTCAAAACTATATTTTATCAAAGTTTTTACAAGGATGAAACATATGGAGATAACGAACAGTTTACAAGCTCAAAGTCGAATATGCAATACAAAATAGGAGCAGAGCAAACAAGGACCTCCAAAACATCAGAAGTGGGATAAGGAACCATGGGGGAGTGAGCATCCCCTGCCAAACGGTCAAACCTGTCGTGTGTTCCTTGTCCATGATCGGGAAAAAGCCGAAAATCCACCTTCATTTCAGTATTCATGTATAGATAATAGACTAACAAGTAGTATAAAAATGTTAGTCAGCCTTTGATTCAATGATAAATTGTATTTACTTTTATGACACGGTTATCATATCGACCTTAGAACTTACGAAATGATGACTTCAAACCAGAGTGCTGATATTCTTGTTTCATCAACTTGTTTGTCAAAAGTTTACCGCATTTTAGAAATTGAGCATATGTAGAGATCATATCCTTGCGCATCGCATCAGCTGAGATATAATTTTCATATGCTGGTAGTGAAGGTATATTGCTGCATAAGTAAGGGAAGTGGATAATAGAAAAGATTATGTAAAGTTAAAGAATGTTTTGATCGGTATATCATGCGTCTTAGATTACCAAATAGTCTTTCTCATATTATTTCAAAAATTTACTTCATTGATTCTAGTTATCGATCTTATCGTATACCGACCGGCAAATCTTTTATTTCATAGTAAACCATGCTTTTTCTGGGTATGCTTCTAGCTTCGTATGCCGGATTCTGCACAACTGAACTCTGGTCCTCACTGGAAGAGCGAATATTAAATGGAACTTTTAAATTCTTAAACATGTATATATTCAATCGTTGTTGTGAATCTTAAATAAGTTTAAATTGGTATTACACAGAGTTTTCCTGTTTTCTTCTACGGAGATGGATAAAAACCATGGCCGTGACAGCTGCTCCAAACAACACTCCCCCTAATAATGCACCAACTACAGCTCCGGGAAGGGCATCTTCTCATGTTTAAAGTCATATAAATAAAGATTACAATAATTAAAAATAGTTCACAATTATATATCATATATTTTTTTCATATAAACAAACCAAAGACATTTGGCTTGAATGTTGCAGAATCTGCGTGTAACAACACTGAATAATTTATATTTACCAATTACCAAGTACACAATAAGACAAATAATTACCCCGATCTTTAACACCTAGTATAAATTTGGTTGTTGATTTCTCGTCTGAAAAAAAAATCGACTGTCTTTGAAACTGAAAGCAGAAAAATAAGTGAAACCCACGAGAAATTCTCTATCGTAAAATTACGAATCTAGGCCATTATATATCACTTCAAACTAATATTACATTGTACTCCTGGATTGCAATAAAATTTATCCATTAATCTTACAGAGGCAAGCAATGAATTTTCATTTTTTGCATGTACATGTATATCTCGTTTTCAAAATAACATATATTATATGGAAGTAAACGTACTTATAGTAACAGCTTCTGTTGTGGCAACCACATTCTCTGTAGACTGAATGTGAGATGTGGTCGGACAGTTGCTAATGACACATCGATCTAAAACAAATAGTACATAATAAGACAAAATATATACATTTTATGATTAACTTTATATACCTATATCAATACTTTAAATTATATAACAAAAATAAAAACATTTAATTATTAGTATAAAAATCAAAAAATAATGATACACATATATTTTTAAAAATATTTACGTCGTCCGGTCTTCATTTTATCAATGCTAATTTCCTATTTCAATCGATTAAGATGCCTAATTTAATACTGAATACACTGAATTTCTTCCTTGTCTTTTCATTTATTACTAAATATATTCAGAATATACTTAAAAACATACTTTTATAGTACCTTTACTTCGCTTCCTTACAAATACGCCCTGTTTACATCAATTTCCTGTTTATATAAACTTAAAAATGCAAAAAAAATTAACTGGGTGGATGGTTTCCATTCTAAAAGATTGTCCCATATGCATATAATGGCAGTGTCTATATGGGGACCTCAAAATATGTGTCGGATTAAATAGTAAATTAGAAGGTGCACAATGGCAATACGTGATGAAGACTCTGTGAAAGTCTCATCAAATTTCATTCAGTGGTATAGAGGAGTTGCGGATAAGAGATGGGCACCCCAAAGCGTAACAGACGGACGGAGGGACATACCGATTACTATATTCCCCCTCTTTTCAAAGCGGGGGTATAAAAATAGACTAACAATAAGCATAAAAATCGTCAGTCAGTATTTGACTCAATGATAAATTGTATTTGCTGACAAGGTCATTGTATTGACCATAGAACTTATCATATTATTATACCTTTAAACGAGACTGTTGATATTCTTCTTTCATCAACTTCTTTGTCAATAATTTACCTCGTTGTAAAAATTGTTCATACGTAGAACATGCTCTTGTGTATCGAATGAACTCAGATCCATAAACTCCGTATGTAGGTGATGAAGGTTTATTGCTGCATAAGTTAGGGATGTTGACGATAGAAAAGTTAAAGTCATCACGTTTATCATAGAGCTCGCTTTTTAGATTACCATTAACCTCTTTTCCAGTAAAATATCTAAGTATGGAACAGATGCGTCAGACTCTTTGGTATCTTTTATCTTAAGCTCAAGTGGATATATCGTTTTGACTTGGGAATAGAAATTACCATATTTGATTGACAATACGTCGTTCGATATATCTTAATTGTCGACACAATTTCTGCTTCGTGTTGTACAAAAAAAGTCTGCGAATAATGGATTGCAATTGGTACCCATGAGAATTCCAATATTGTTGGAAGACCTGGTCTCCAAAGACCACACAGATATTGTCAATCAAAAACAACGGCATCTTTTTTATGTCAACTTCAGAGTACTTGTGTGTGCAATCAGAATGTGTTTTAACAAAATAATTTTGGAAATGACCAATGACAAGGTACGTAAATTTACGTGTTCCATTTTTATTTTTATTGAAAAAGCAGCTGTCAATGATATCAAAAAGCCTGGACTTTAATTTATCGTGGGGTATGGTTGTATATAAAGTTGAAAAGTCGTAAGTTTTTAGAGTGCTGATTTTGATAAAATATTGTGATTTCAAATTGTCCAAAAGTTCTTCGCAATTTTTGAGTATCAACATCTGATTCACAACAGTTCTTGAATATATTTTTGCACAGTACTCTTGAAGGTTTTCCTAACTACTGTTAATATCTTAGTGAGAAGTAAAGAAAGAAGCTTGATTGAACAGTAACTGGAACCCGCAATGTATCTTTGTTTGTAAGGATTCTTATAAAGTTTCAGAATCCAATATATTTATATATGATACGAAGGCTGTTCAATAAATAATGTCCTCGGTGCTCGGAAAGATATAAAAAACATTTTTCAATGATTAAATATCGATGATTTTACTTAAATATTCTCGTTAAATTAAAACACATGTCCGTAACATTTTATCCTATTTCTTATTGTTTAGAACAAATTTTTGAGTATGACCCTTCGTATACTGAAATATAGCAGATTCAATGGTTTCCTGGACTTGTTTCTTTTTGAAAGGTTTTTTTTTAAGTTAAAAATGAAACGAGTAAATGGTTGAAAGACAAAATATTGTTGGTTGGACAAAATATTAACTTTCATCTGTTTATTCCCAAAATTCCTTTACCTAAATTTCATGGTGTGTGGGTTTAGATACTATCAACAAGAAGAAATTTAATGTAGTGTATTCCTGATTCTGGTTCGATCCTCTAATAAATCTTTCGATTATGGCTCAAAAAATTGCTTTCTAGACTTCTCCAGGAATTGAAATGCCTCCCCGAATAAGAATTTGAATAACACGACCACTAAAGAAAATGGCATATGAAATGTTTTGTGATTTTGCAATTCTTCGAAAATTTTCAGGCCTTGGCTGTTTTGTCAAGTGCATGTAAATTTGTTTTGAGACTTTAAAGCAATAAATTAAAGTTTCATAATCCGTTTGAATTTCAGACAAACGTGAATAACAACAATTTTTTCATTTATTGAAATAATTATTTTGTTAATCTTACACACTGTCGTTTTCACTCATTTTTATAATCGTGGGGTGACCATTGAGTACGCAGCTTTTTTTACTGTCAAATATTTCTTTAAAACCGTGTAAATAACCCCCAAATGATGACTATCAGTTTTGCTATGTGTCTTAAAGTCAATTAAACATCATCAGTGATCTTTTTTTTAATTTTGGGAAACAGTACATTGCATGTTGAAAGTCTTCGTTGCGAAGGACGCAACCTATTTTGATTCCCATTATATCATTTTTGCTCATTGAAATTCACCTGTTTATGTTTCGATAAAACAGACATTAGTTGCTGTAAATTTCACATGTTTCAGTGAATACATGTATTTCGTTGTGATTCTTAACGAATTTTACAGCAGCTTTAATGGAGAGTTTATTTTCACTATAGTTTCCTGTTTTTTTACCATTCATTTTTAATGCAGTATCTCGAACAGCCCTTGTTTTCCAGCTTCTCACAATGAAACTATGTGATGAAAAGTGGTCATATAAACAGTATTAAACTCATTAAACATTAAATCATGAGAGAAAGTCAAGTTTTATGTCATTTTATTTATATGTTGTATGTCCAAGAGCTCAGGACATTATTTATTGAACAGCCATCGTAGTTCAAATTCATTTTGGTTCTTCGGGATATTAAAAAATATTCAAAACTGACATATGATTTTGAAGAATGTCTTCCTTAGAAAGAAAAATATAAGTATAAGTTGGATTACCACTTTAAGAATTAAATCCAAGTTCTTATAAAGTACAATTTATATAATGGGCCTCACAAATGAAGGCAATGTTGTTACCTGCTTGTGTGCTGCTTTGTCAGCAAGGACCAGTGCATACTGATCATGTAATCTATCCAATTCTTATTTCACTTCTGGAGTATTCAATACAGAAGGAGGATGGTTTTCATATTGCCCCTCAATCTTTAAATACATGATTTTAACATGGATCTGATACGTGTAATGTACTCTGACAAAGTGTCAACGTCTTCTTTTTCATATCTGGCCCATTGTCTGGCGTAATCCTCAACACAATCCATAATATTTATAAAATTTCTACGCCAGTTGAAGGATCGGGGTTCCTTATATTATTATTCTCTGTCTTTACTAGCGGAATAGATATGCTGATCTCCTCGGCTTTGGATGAAATTGACATTTAAACCTTGACAAAATTTTCCATAAAGGAGACAAAAAGATTTCATGTAAAAGATAAGGATATTGTTGATATGTAAATGCATAGTTATGTTAAAGTGACTTCATATCTTGCGGTTATGATGGTTCGGGATCATTGAATCATTTTGATTAAACAAATATGTCAGCAGTCTCGTTTTAAGTCATAATTTTGTAAGTAATATGAATATGGTAAATAAAATGACCTATAGTCAGCAAATACAATTTATCATAAAATAAAATGCTAAATATTTTTGTACCCTCCACATGAAAAGTAGGAGAATATATACTGATTGAGATGCCTGTCGGTCTGTACGTCCGTTTGCCAGCCTCTTATGCTTTGGAATACGTACCCTTCTCTTATCCGCAACTCCTCTTTTACCAATGAATGAAATCAAATGAGACTTTCAAAAAAACTAACATACAGTGTCATTAATTGTGCACGACCTATTTTACGTTTTGATTAAACACATGTTTTGGTGTTCCCATAGAAGTACATGAGCACTGCTCTTCTACCTATAATATTGAAGGGAACTCATCTCTTATACGCAATTCCCCTTATACCACAGAATAAATTTAATGACACTTTCACAGATTCTTCATTGCATTATGCGATTGTGCGCCTTTTATTATAATTGTTTTCATCTGACATTTATTTTTGGTCTCCCAGAGCAAAACATAGACTTGTCATTGCCATTATATTCATGTTGGAGGCGTTTGGTATCCTTTAGTGAGCTCGGTCCTGTCAGTGCTCACAGTACATCTTATTCATACTGATAATTAGGCAATTGTATTCATACTGAATTGTCGACGGATTGTTACGTTACACATGGTCATAGTATGAAGCACAAGGCGTTTGTTTCTGATCGGCAGAGGATGCTACAGAACCCACCAGATCCAACCTGACACCCAAGCAATCCCAGACAGCAGTCCCTGGGACTGGTTTTGAACAGCTCTGGGATCGCTTTGAGACTGCTCTGAGACAGATATGGGACTGCTCTTGGACTGCTCTAAAAAACAGTCCCAGCTGCTCCTGAAAATACCGGGAATTGTGATTTATTTCATTGTTGTTTTGCTTGCGTTTACCCGGTCGATTAATGTGTATTAAGTGGTATCAACACCCGCGGTTTCAATCGCCTTTGGGCGGAAAATCAAAGCATGTTATTTGGGTACACGCATCAGTGTAACACATCATTGAACATGCTGATTAACAATTAAACCTACTTTCAATCTATGTAATGCGAAAAAAAAGATAAATGAAATGTGCATAGATTTCTTTCAGGATTAACTAATTTTGAACAATATCTGAGGGATCCATAAGTGATTTACAGATGTAAACTCGAACATTTACAAATAAAAGACTTAAAATTAATTATAGAGTTAAAAAAATAACGATAATTAAATTGTCTTGTAGAAATAATCGTGCCTAAAAAAAAATACTTGGCGATATTAATAAAGAATATTTTGCAAAAACCCTAATACATGTTCGTAAGAAAATGCCTTTAGAGTATCCCGATTGTATGGAAATTGTTGCTCTATAAATAAATTGATTGGGTCTATTTAAAGCTTACTCTGGTGGAAAATAATCAATTCAAGTTTAATTTTCTTCATAAAAAGATATATCTATGGGAACCAATTTCAATCAAAGAAAACAAAGAAATTGTATTATAAATAGATATAATTGTGATTAAATATTCATGTTCGGTTTAATTCATACATGTAGGTGTAAAATACCTCTTCCTTCAATTAATATTATTTCAAATTGTTTCTATACCGTTCATTAATCACCTTCGCACGCATGCAGATTCCTAGCATACTACTCAGAATCAATTTCAACTGCCTTTTATAGTTCCATTGTTTATTGGAAATCTCATTTCTGAGTTAGCTCCGGCCATTAAATTGATAAACCCCTGTCTCTGGGGCTGCTGGAAATGCTCTCTGGGACCACTGGGACTGTTATGGGACCGCTTTGGGACTGCTTTGTGTCAGGTTGGGTCTGGTCGGTACTGTATATGTAACTCTTCCATGGCACCTGCTTCCATCTGTGATGTGTTTGTTTTTCTCGAAAATGGACTATGAGCTTGAAAATTGCTCATAATCTCCATGGTTTTTCATCAATAAGTAAAATAAGTTTTTTGACAGAGGCCTGTGACTTGAGTTACTTTGGGTACACATTGAAATTATAACAGATGGTTACTATTCTCTGTGCCTATCAAATAAAATGTTACTTCTTTGTAACCATTTCTTCCACACCAAATGTTACAGCTTAGATTAAAAGCTTTTAAAGCGAAGTAAACCTTTACGACAAGAGTTTTGTGGACAAGAGTTATAAAACATGAACAAAGGTCTTGTCATACTTTACTGATAAATAATGCAAAAATTGGGAAGCACTGTGGCAGGCGTCACAAAAAAATCAAACTTCAAAAGTAAAGTATTGAGTCATTTCCCGATAGTTTTCCACCCAGGTACACTTTACATGTAACGCATTAAGTTTCTTTACACATATCTCGAAACTTCCTTTCTTCTTTTATTTTTCGCCAATAATAAATGAACCTGTGAAAACATATTTTATCATTACAATAAAAGCTACATATTAAAATTAAAAAAATTAACTTACCGTGTACATCTGCATTATGCACACTATCAAAGTAGTACTAGAACTGTACTTGTTACTCCTTTGACAGCAGTTTTACATAGAAATAACAAAAACCAATTATAAAATCATATATTTACATTACATATGTTTTTTGCATAGAAAGTGAATGCAAATATATTGCATTCAAAACACCATTACACAGACAGAGTGCCAAGAGGTTAAAGCATGCGTTTTAGTTTGACGTCATAATCGTTGAACGCCGATGAAGTGCAACGTCACAAGCTAAAAAAAATCACGCTCAAATTGACTAGGGGCTGTTACGTTGGCTGATCCATTTACTGTTGCTTACACGAAGAATAATACTTTGATTATTAAATAGAAACCACATATGCAGTTACGGTAAAAATGTAAATATAAGCAATGAATCATTATTTTTTTGAAAGCAATAGTCTCATGACTGCAACGGTGTGTGCAAACAAATTTTCATAACGCGCTGACGCAAATTCACAAGAAGTTGAAATTTATTAAAATAATGAAAAGTTCTCTTACATTTAATTCAAAACTTATAAGGATTTTCTATATTTATTTGAGATCATTGTAAAACATATCAATAATGAAATTTTAAATAACAATCTTAACAGACTTTATTTTCATTCAAGTGCATGTAGGTTTGGAAATAATTTTCAATGACAAACAGTATAAAACAATAAAAAGAAGCTCTGGTGAGAAAATCTGTACATCACATATTTTTCACTAATTCAAAGAATATTCCTTTACAATCTTACTCAAATCATATATTTAATGTACATGTATTATTTCCTTTGTTTTCAGGTGGCATAATCATCGATTGTTGAAACTGTGAGAAATGAAGGCCCTGCATGATCATAATCATCATTGTTGTTTTCAGACTGAACGGGAGCACTTGCTCTAGCATGGTCATAGTACTCATCTCTGTCAACGGTCTCTGATTCATTCAAATGGTTGTACACCCCGTCTTCTTCTGCTATAAATTCAGTGGTTTCTTCAGGGCCTTTTGCCTGTTTGATGAGAATTTAAAACTTCATTTTAAACTATGTCTGCCATTAGTTTATTAATAATTGTATAGAATATACACATGTAACAAGAAGTATGAAAAAAGTCAGTCACCTTTATCTTATTCTCTGACACGATCATTATATCAACCATAGAAATGATAACTTTCAACAAAACTGTTGATATTCTTGTTTCATTAACTTTTGTTTGAAAATAGAACATGCTGTTGCGCATTAATCCATTGGGGGATATAAACCTCAGATTCAGTTAATAAGATTGTATTGCTGTACAAGTAATAAAAGTTGACGATAGGAAAATTAGAAACCAAAAGGTTGATCATAGCATTTTGTAGGTTTCACGTGTCATTAAAATCTCAAGTAAGATATTCAAATATATGAAACAGAGAGTATAAATGAGTTAGGTACTAAAATAAAAAAAAGTACCATTTTATTATTAGTGTTGAGGCTGGCTCGTCTACTTTCGTTACTGTGATCTTGGACTGCCTGGCGATTAATATTACTTTCTATTAGACTCTGGAGTGCATCGGATGTTGGTTCTCTGACGACAATGTCAAAATATTAAAGTATTAGATATATTTTTTTGTGAAATAATAAAATTTTCTCTCTCTCTCTCTCTCTCTCTCTCTCTCTCTCTCTCTCTCTCTCTCTCTCTCTCTCTCTCTCTCTCTCTCTCTCTTCTTAATGTTTAAATTTGATACGGATTTTTAGCTTCAACCTAAAAATAATAATGTGGTCAGAAAGACATTTCATTACCCTTTCTGTCTTGCTGTTCTTCGTCGAAGAACAATAAAAACAAATGCTGTGATAAATGTCCCAAAGAGCGCTCCACCAACTACGGCAACAACGATATATCCGAGGAGATCTCCTACAGTACATACTAAGTACATTGGCAAGTGTGCTTTTTTTAACGAAATATACATGTAATTAGAAATGGCAAAAGGAGATCGATTGAAAAGTATGAGATATAGTAAACTCTTGATAGATTGTGATTGCAAAAACTTAACTTAAAAAATAAGCTGTCTTAAAAATGTTCATGATGTACACATATAAGATTTAACACAAAGACAGTTTAGTTTTGTCATGATGTTACATGTATGTTGATTACCTACCAGAGCTTGTATGTATATTAGGGTTGAAAGTTCCCTCGTCTGCAAGTGTCTTCCCTTCAGTAGACATAGGACTGCATTCTGGACACGACGCACATTCTAGGAATAGAAAAATACAAAAAGCACATAGTTTAATACAAACGAAACTAGTTTTAAATACTTATATTGAGAAGAATTATATGATTTTAATGAAACATAAACAGACCGATGACAGTTTAACCTGATCTTAGCCTTTATCTAAAATTTGTTCTTTCACAAGTATAAACTCTGCTAATCAAATATTATAATACTGTAGAAATGAACACACGCAAGTAAAAAATAAAATAATAAGTTATATAATTATCAAAGATTTAACATTCTTCAAATTCTTGTCATTCATTGTATGATTGTAACGATTCTTTTGAAAATATTAACAAAAAAAGTCAATCATTTGTATGAATACTGCTAGAAAACAAGGTAATTCAACAAAATGAACATATGAACGATATACTGTGTTTTACTTAGTGATATTTTCTATATATTTTTTCCAAGTTATTTTTTTTATATCAGACTTCTATTTCCTTTCTTCATCATTATTTGGGACCAAGCTAACGCACTTTGAAAAAATTAAATTTCTTTTCAAAGTGCGTTAATATCGACCATATTAACGCACTTTGAAAAAAATGTAAAGTTTGATCAATATTCTTACAAATAATCGGTATGATAGATAATTGACTTTGATTGGATAACTTTTTGGTGTTAAGGACACTTCAGGACCTGAGATATTGATGTTTTCAATATTTTAGGTTTTGATAAATATTATAAAAGGGAAATGTTTTTTTTATACAAAATAGAGAGATGATTGTTTAAAACCATTATTTCGTTTCTTTTTTTTAAATTTCTAGTCTGTAATAAGTAGATGTGGGGGGAGGGGCTAAAAGTGAACGACATAAAACATATCATTTCTATTAAGAAAAAAGGACAAATAGATTTTTCAAGACTATGAAAATTCTTTCTCTCTCATACGTTCTACTGTACTTAAAAATTTCTAGTTTTCATCGGTTTTAAGTTAATTCAATTATTGACAGTTTTCAACGTCATACCGGTAATGTAAATACATAACCATTGTTTGGGTATAGCATACACGTAGGCATCGAAACCGGGCGAATGGCAAGGGAATGGGGGCTTTTTGGGCTTAATTTTTTTCAAAGTGTGTTGTCACAACGCCATATATGACTTTAATGTGAATTATTACAGGTTTTACAAATCTGATAAAAAAAAAAAACTATAAGAGAAGAATTCATGCTTTCTGGAAAAATATGTTTGGCCAACGCCATGTTTTATTTCATATATAAAAAAAGACAGAAATACTTTTTAATCTATGAAGATACTTTAATATCGTTCTGAGTCTATTCTGAAATTACCATGTGTATAGTGAAATCAATTAGTTTTGTTTCTTTTTTCTCTTTAACGAGACTTACTTGTATTACTTAAGCTTTCATAAAGAGTTGCAGAAAAGCATGTGAAAAAAAGATGATAATTCAAATGTTATCTAATAATTTCATAAGAGGCAGTTCATGATAAAAAAGAAAAGATATCCTTATAAAGGGTTTAGAGATCAAGTACGTATAAAGTACATACATATATAAAGATTTCTTTTTCTAATATTAATTTACATAATATCCTAAATGAATTTTATCAAATATAATTATTTTTGTAATAGTATTTTCCATATTATTGTATATTAATTTAAACAAATTAAAAGTTATACCGAAACTAGAAGGGCTTTGTTCATGAGTTCTGGATGTTGCTTCATCTATATTTCCTTTCGCAGTCACATATTCGTCGTCTATGGGAGCACATCCTGGACAAGAAGCACTACTCTCTAGGATGGGTAAAACACATGTTTTATGACATTTCATTCTCTTTTTTGTTTATAGGCAAACAATATAAGATATATGATAGGTTTATAATAAAAAGAAAAATTAATCTAACTATCTATAGAAATTACATGATGACAGTTACAATAATTTTATATCATAGTGGAAGACAGCAATTATTTGAATACAGCAGATATAATCTAGTCACCATAAAATACAGGGAAAAAACACTCTGGTCGTTTCTAACCAATTGGTAGTGCCAAATGATTCGTGCTATTTTCTCTCTTTTTTGTCATTGCGCACATATAATAAACTTTTCCGAAATGTTATTTTGAAAAATCGAAGGTTAAGTTCCTGTTAAAAACCATGAGGCATAAATCATGAAAAAATGATGAAATTTTGGATAATGCAGGAAATATACACATTATATGTAATTAATTTACAATGGGGTATTATGGGATAAACCTTTAAATATAAAAGTAAGTAATGAAATGATTTCTATAAATTAGCGAAAAATAGGGCGATAACAAACCATATGTAAGTTCCAGCTCAAAAGTCCACCAAACAATACAAAATAGCAGCAAAGCAAGCACTTTGATTTGCTTCAACAACAATTTCCTGATGTTGTCTGTATGATTTTTTTTTTTTTTTTTTTTTTTTTTGATTTTCAGATGGTCAATCAGTTGACAATTAGACGCACTTACAGAATTATTACACAATTCGGCACCGCATAAAAACTCACAAATACAGAGACTTTTTCTCTGACATCTGGTGTTCAAAGTGTTTTTCACGCCTTTTGGATAAAATGTTGGACCTAACAAACCTTGAATTTTCAATGATACAGAGTGCCAATGATGTGTATATGAAATACTCAAAAAATGTTTAAACAAAAACAAACAAGCAGTTAAATAAAAGCAGCCTCGAAAATACTTTAAATATATCTGTTGCTCGAAAGTTTAAAGTTTTAAATTAGATGTGGTTAGTGCAAATCATAGTTACAATCTATGCCACTGTTCAGAATTGCTACGTAAAATGCTTTGCAAGTATGAAAAAATCAGATAAGAGTAAATTACCGCAACTCCATAATTATCTTTGAAGATTTTTAAAATATATTCATACTTTAAAGTTACATGTAACGAAGATTACAGTTTAAAGAATTTTCATCAAAAGTAAGTTTACCTAACCGCATAATCTTTGATTTTTAAAGATTTATTTTATTCACTATTCATGTAATATTTAAATGATTTATTTTAAACTGATATGAAGTTTTTATTGGTCCCTAGATTTTGCTTTCTAAGGTCATTCTAATTTTTTCTCTGTTAAGCGTCTATATGTGCTTTGGTTTCGAAAGCCTGTTTCAGAATGATCTGGATGTGTTTGTGAAACACTGGTGCCCCATTACTGCAGCTTATGTTGAGGTTTAAAATTTCTTATGGCAGCTTATGTCGAGGGTTGAAATTTCTCAGACGCAGGTCAAACTCCAAGATCAAAAGGTATTCAAGGTCTTGTAACAGGAATAACCCTGTGAAATTTGAAAGCCCTAATACTAACGGTTCAAATGTTTTGCTAGGGTTAGAAATTCATTCAACTCGAATGTTAAAGACAAAAGGTTAAATAATTTTACTTCAGTTGAACGACCTTGTCACAGTGAATATCCTTGTGAAGTCTGACACAAGACCTTGCATCAACTGTTCTAAAGCTAAGGTCAACATTAACGTTTGATTTTTTCTGGTAAAAGTTTTTTAAACTGCAAAGTCAAGAGGTCAATTTCGGTGTACACGTAGGAAGGTTTTGTCACAGGAAATATTTTGATTTTCCATATAATGGTTACACTGTATGTTGTTTTTTGAAAATATTTTTAAAGATTTTTTTAAATATTAGAAATCCTAATTCACACTCTCTGTATCAAGGGTGTGCTTCCTATGAAGAAATATGATTGCTGTGTGGTGCGTTGTGTAGTAAACGCCCGGACAGTGCTTTTTGAGAAGAAGTCGAAAACGAAAAAAAATAGGGACGGCACATAGCACACGACACCCGGATGTCAGCCATCTTTCGATCAAGTAAGCTTACTTAAGCCAATGGCTAATATAAGCTAAAAAATAAGATCATATTCTAAAGAATTTGTGAAAGGTCTAATGCTGGAATGAATAAATGGTTAAAAAAAAAGATTGAAATCGAAATATGGTTCCTTTGTGTATTCAGTCTTTTCTAAGTAGTGAAGAAAGTTGCATTTAGAGACATAAAATTTGTCAAGACAACCAATTTGTGCATAAATTACGTTCATATCAATACATTTTATCTTAAAGTGTAGTAAAATGACAGTCTTGTATATATATTGTTTTTTTTTTTAAATTCAAATAAAAGCTGGAAGAAAAAGTCTTCTCTTTGTCATTAAGCATTATATATATATATATATATATATATATATATATATATATATATATATATATATATATATATATATATATATATATATATATATATATATATATATATATATATATATATATATATATATATATACAGTTAATTCTCGATAAACCGCCACCTTTTGTAATTTAGAAATCATGGCGGTATAACGAATTTGGCGATGAATTGAATGTCCTATCTTTTAGGAAACAAGAAGTACATATAAGAGTTACCATTCTTAGAAATACCATTTAAAACGTTTCTATTCTTTTCATTACATGTACATGTATATTAAAAACATATTTCTAAATTTAAAAATACTTCAAGTAATTTTTTTAAGTACAATTTCGCTAAAAATAAAGACAAGTACGTGTACATGTGTATACGTATGTAAATCTGCACGTCTAATATTGAAAAAAAACATACTGGGTCGATCGTCATGATATATTACCGATTTTATGTAAAATAATTCTTGAATAAATTCATTGTTTATGGCATCATTGTTAATGAAAAGTTCACAATTTATACCGTATAGTTATTTTTAAAGCAAATTTTGCATTGTATAAAGCAGAGATCTTCAAAATAATATCGTTATCGGCGTACTTAACAACGACCACTTTCGTGGCGAAGCCGTGACTGAATGAATTTTATTGATCAGTAAACAAAATTATTATAACAGTTAATGTTAAAATGATTTAATTCTTATTTAATTATTTAATTGCATGTACCTTGTCCGGCTTTGCATGCTTTACAACAGGGATAGCGTCAACCAATTAGCCGCGCTTCACTGACCACATGCACCTGTGGCGGTATTATCGAGATAATTGACACTTAAAAATGGACGTTTGTTATGAAAACAGGGTGGCGGATGGCGGTATGCGAATTTGGCGTTATAAAGAGAATTTTATATAGCAGGAAAAACGTTCTTGGGAAATCAGGGCGGTATTGCGAAAATGGCGATGAATCGAATGGCGATAATTCGAGAATTGACTATATATATATATATATATATATATATATATATATATATATATATATATATATATATATATATATATATATATATATATATATATGTCTAATAAAGATTTGATCACTTTAATATGTACATTCTGAACTATAGTTTTTATGACCTACCAAATGTTGAGGGACTTTGAGTTTCGGGCGTTACCTCTTCTGTACATTCTTTCGCCACGAGATTCATAGTATTGCTGTCAGGGCAGGGCTCACATTCTAGAGATTGGAAAATCAAAGGTTATTTTTCCAAAATGAAATCATAATATGATCACGAACATAAAAGTTATAAATAAAAACTGATAATGGGGATAAAGAACATGAAACAATTTTTAAAACATCTAGTAAATGCATATTTCCCTTTAAGTTGTAAATCTTAAAAAAGATTTCAATGCGGAAAGTTTCGATAATAAAATAAAAAGACGAAATCTCTAGATTTTTCCCTTCTTTGTGCAGTCTTTTGTAAGTAGTCGAGAAAGTTGACATTTAGAGATACATGTATACAAAATAACACCTGTCAAGATAACCATTTTGTGAATGAATTTTAATTACGTTCATATCAAAAACATTTCATTTTATATAACAATCGAGTGAGAAAACAGTCATGTATATAATTTGTATTTTGTTCATTTTCTTATACTTCACATAAGGGCTGTATAAGGAAATAAATACCCTCTTTGTCATATTATCATGAAATATCTTTTTTCTTTTACACTATTTGTTGCATATGTTTTATTCATAATTATGTACAATGGAATATTCGATCACTTAAATATTACGAAGGTTGTCCAAAAAGTTCGTAGACAATGACGTTTTTGTGAAAATAAATGGTGCTCTATAAATCTGTTGTATATCAAAACATTTCTTATGAAAAAACAAATCAGAATGATTAAATTTTTGTTGATGGAACTTAATATTTTTGTGAAAATCGTGTTCTTTAAAGGTTGCAGATAGTGCGCACGGACCAAGGTTAAAATGACATAAACTCTGATATAAAGTGATCGGATTAAAATTATTTTTTTCTATATAAGAGAAGTAAAAAAATAATAAAAATTTTATGTAACACAAATAAAGAGGTTATATTTGTTTTATGATATCTTAAGTATCGCTTACTATATATACAGTACAAATACTAAACAAAAACCCTAACAAATGTGTCAAAACTCGCCAAAAAAACACCGATTAAAAAAATAAGTTTTTATACAGTTGAAAGGACGTAAAATACAAAATATTTCTTAAAACAACTCAAAATTATTGAAATATATTTAGTGTATCAATTTCAGATTGGTATATACGATTTTTCAACGGTGTGTACAAATTTGATGACACTACAAGAATTTAAAAACACATGAAATTTACTGAAAATGGAGATTTCTATTCATGACGTTTTTAAAACTAGCGCAGCGTCGGACTGGGCTGTGCAGTTTGTGTATAGTTTATTTAGATGACGCTCGTAATTTTTTGTGCATTGTTTTAAATTTTAAAAATTAAATAAAATATAATCTATACATAATGATTATTGCTAGCACCTGGAAGTGCGTTGCGCCTTAAAAAAGAAATTTAGTGTGTGTCCATGAACATGTGTTAAGTCAAAATCCAAATGTTTGACGTTATAATGAAATTAGCTTAACGTCAGACTGGTCCGTTCGCGCAATCTGCGATGTTTAAAGACCCCGATTTTTACAAAAATATTAAGTTCCATCAATAAAAATTAAACCATTCTGACATGGTTTTTCATAGGAAATATTTTGATATACGATAGATGAATATAGAACCATTTATTTTGACAAAAACATCATCGTCCACGAACTTTTTGGACAACCCTCGTACGAGGGGGTATCAAAAAGTTCGTGGACTGGTGACATAGAATTAAAATCGCTTTTGGTATATTAATGAATTTTAAAATATTTAGTAAGCACATCCTTTTCTCTCTGCAGTATAAATCAAAAATCATTGAATTAAATTTTTTTAGTAGATTAGTAACTGATTACTGAAACTAGTACTGATTACTAATGTTTTGTATGTAATGGTTTGCCTTGGCGGCCCAACCTCGAAAATGACGTTTTTCGCCCTAAGTGTAACTGAGAAAAACTCCTTATTATGAACATTTATCATCCAAAAATCCCTTTAATTCAGGTGTGTAATTACGATGCAATTGGTCTGTAAAATATTCAAATTTTACCTCATAGGAAATGTTTAAACTGGATACCGAAAAATAAAATGCATCCAGAGAGATTATTTTTAATGCCAAACTAGAGTCAGAGAGAAAAGGAATGAAGAGTAAATGTCGATTTGCACTCAAAAGGTAATAACGTCAAAAATGATCTTGATTATTTGTGGTAGATATTGAACTGCAAAAAGCAAAATATCTTGGCATAATAAAGGGAGGATATCTCCAAATACATCAATTCATTTGCAATATTATCTGCATTGAAAGCAGTTGTTCGTGACATTGTAAAGTCATATACACAAGACGGGTTTAAGTTCTTACTAAACTCCGGGAAATCTCATCAAAATAAGTGAACGAGGCAGAAGATGCGGGCATTAAAACAATGGCATTTTGGGACGTCATGAAACTAAACTGCGACAAAGCCTATATTGTCTTTTTATCTTATTATAAATTGGCAAATAATGAACGTATCATGCTAACATTTTCAACATTTCTCTATTTTTATGGTTTTACATTCCTTATAAATTATGAAAGAACAGGATGCTACGTAAGAGTTTTATCGCATCAGTCCACGAACCTTATGATAACCCATACTATTTCGGCTTTGTCGTATAGTTTTTATGACCTACCAAATGTAGAGGGACTTCGAATTTCGGGCGTTACCTCCTCTGTAGATTCTTTCACCGCGATAGTTGTACATGTAGGATTGCATTCAGGGCAGGGCTCACATTCTAGAAATTAGGGAATCGAATGTTTTTTTCCATAATGAAATTTTAATATAATCACGAACACAAAATTTATAAACACTGATAATTGAAAAGAATTTAGCAATTTTTTTCAAACATCGAAATACGTAGAAGTAGAATTTTTAGCGAGGATTAAATGTAGGATCAGACATTATCATATTTGGCCTATTTTGTTTTGATGTGCCATCTTTTTGCTAACTTTTTCATATGATGTTTTGACTGTCTTGTCTTACAGATACTTTTTTCTAGTCAGTTTTGGGGGATCAGGCATTATCATATTTTACGTAACTTCTAATCAAAGCTTGTGAATCTGATCCCCTTCTTCTTTGTTAAATTGTTCACATTTATACCGTCATTTAATAAATAACATCTATTTTGTTTTGATGTGCCATCTTTTTGCTAACTTTTTCATATGACGTTTTGATTGTCTTTTCTTACAGATACTTTTTTCTAGTCAGTTTTGGGGGATTAGACATCATATTTTACGCAACTGCTAATCAAAGCTTGTGAATCTGATCCCCTTCTTGTTTGTTAGATTGTTCACATTTATACCGTCATTTAATAAATGACATTATTCATCTCTATGAAAGTGTTTTATTTGACTTGTACAAAATAAGCAAAAACAAGCTGCGGTGAGCTTGCCTATAAGCATAAGAATACATAAATTAAATTTTGGCTTTATTAGCGGGGTGCCGAGATCGCCAAAGTTGATATCGCTAAAAATTAATTGCATTTTATTTGTAAAAGCGTCTTTGAAAAAAAAACTGCCAGTTTTTAAGGACAAATCGCTAAATTTGCGTCTCGCAAAAATTTCCACTCATACGGTACATATTTCCATTTAAGTTGTAAATTTAAAAACGAATCAATAAAAGAATAGAGAAACTATATTTTGCAAAAGTTACATGTAATTATAGCTACTATTCTAAATACTTCAATCGTGTATATAATATGCATGGGTGTACTATTTTTTTTGTTTGAAATACCTTCCTGCTAGAGGAAAACCTTTATTTTGTTTGAATTTATTTTTTATCCCAAACCAAATCCACCTTAAACGAAACATCTGTGTGTGATTAACAATTATCATTTTCATAATATTTTTTGTAATATTTTCCATTTACGGCACACTTCAAAAACCCTTCCGTAAAAAGGGGATCAAGAATACTTTGACCTAATTCGTGTGTATGTTCTCTGAAGTATGTCAATTATCTGCCAACAATAGCACCCGATATGTTTCGTCAAAGTTTTATAACATGTCTTGTAACAATCTTGAACCATTAAATTAACTGTAGAGGGCACAACAATCAGTGTTTGGTTATGTATATAACCTCCAACTTATTCTATAATCAAAGACATGCTCCGGGTAGGATTAATTTTAATGCAAGACTAGATACTGACAGAAAAGCTGATTTTACAAGGAATTCAATACTTACGTATACCTTAAATTAAGCTTTTTGTAAATTCAGTGATCGTTATGATGGATTTTTAGGAAATATAAACTATCGTGTTGCGTAAAACAAAAGTACTAGGTAAACATTTTCGGTTTAGACTACATATGGCAACGGAGAATATAAAAGCTCTCGACAGAAATGACCGGTCGACATGGGATGTTCACTTCTTCTATGCACCAAATCCTACATTGCACGGGATTTTTTTTTTTAGATCTAATTAATAATATTTGATAAAACCTAGTAAACAAAACTTCATTTTACAACTTCAATAAGGGGCTAAATCACTTATATTTCGAGCAATTTTGGATTTGCTGTAATGATATCAATAAAGAATTTCATCTCATTGACAAAATACGATGCCCTTCTTTGTCGATAATTTAAAGACTAGAAACGATTCTCTTTACCTGTGACTAATTTAAGCGTCATTTTTCCATACATCTTTAAAAAAATAATAATGTCATTTCCTATACAAAGTACTGTAAGTTTATACGCTATAGCTTGAAGACTTTGCAGAGCATTAAATGGTGCAAAATAAAAATAAAATATTTATAAAATTGAATGAAGGAGATTGGCAAGGTTCATGACTTTTATATAGAATTTTTCAAGAACTCTTGAATAGGACCTGGTGTAATGTACTTAACATATTATATTCTGGTACATTTAAACCACCAAGCCACCCTTCCTTATTAAATTTTGTCAAATCAATGTTTAAACAATTCTTCATGCATTTCTTATGAAAAATTTTGATAAAAAAACTACTTTTTTCCAGAAAAATTTCCCAAAATCCAGTAATTTCAGAAAGTTTATGTATTATAAACATTATTGTATCCTCATTTCCAATGATATCTAGATAGCATGACTGAATAAACAAAAGAAAAACATGACACAGATCTCCCAACACTGTTCTTGATTTTAGAGTTACTACCCTTAGTATCTAATTCGTATTTATAATGGTAAAGACTGGTTGACTGTTTAGGTAATTTACCACATTGGAAACAAATTTTCATAAAAATATTGACATAGATTTGTTTTCATATTTGTTTTCAGTTACTTCACATTTATAAATGGTGCCTCCTTCGCACGACCTCATACAGTTACAGGTTCTCAGCATTTGTCATATCTTGTGATTGTCCTTCCCAGGATAGGCACGGTAAATAACGGCTTGTTAAGGTCATTGGCAACGCAGGGTTTCCAGAGAAAAAAGGTTTGATAATAGGTTTTTTCACTTATGAAAATAGTCATTGAGAGTGATCTCCCGTTGGGAAGGGCAAAGATTCGACATAATTATGCTGAAAGTGGTGATAGCTAGGTAGATCGGATGAGAACGGTTCCAAAGGTTATGTGAAGGAAGGACCATTAAAAATATAAGAATAATAAATCAATGCCAAAATGTTTTATGACAGTTTGTTTCCAATAAAGTTAATTATAGAAGAGAAACAAACAACCAGTACCTTGATCATTATGAATAATAATTAGATGTTAATGGAAGTAACTCAAAATTTAAAAAAAAAAAGAAAAAGAAAACAGTGCCGGTATTTCTGTGCCTTGTTTCTACATTTGCATTTCAGTATTATCATGTCATCGGGAATGATGATACAACAATGTTTTTTATTTATGAACTTTATGATATAATGGGTTTTAGAGAAAACGTATCGTTGAAAATAATATAAGTCCATTTTATCCACATTTTACGTAGAAAATGCATTGAGAATTGTCAAAACTTTGATTCGACAAAACATATTAAGAAAGGCTGACTTGAAGGGTTAAAAGGACCTGAATTAAAAATGTTTGGTACCATTAAATCTGTTCAAAAGTTCTTAAAAAATTCTATACGAAAACCAAAAACGGTGCCAATGCCCTTAACCACTGTTTACTGTCTGTCCCTGAACACAATGTACAAAACCGCCATTAACGGTTTTCTTCCTTGCTGTAGAGATGATTCTACCCGTTGAAGGCAACACATGTGTTTTTGTTTATCTCTGTAAAATACGCTTTATTGGTTTTGATTTCATAGAGAATTCTACACGGGTGATCACCCTCAATCACAGTTTTATAAGTGAAAAAAACCATGATATATACGTTTTGTCTCCGGATAACCGTGACTTGCCATGTCCTTAAAGTACATGAAATACTGATACACCTACCTTTTGAAGACGAATTGTCAATAGCAGTTTCATTAAAGTTGTCCAGGCGTATTGTGTTTGAACGTACAGTTGATGGATATAAATTCGTGTGTTGAAGATTACAATCTAAATTTTTTTTAAAAAGTGTGATACATGTAATTTTATGGTAATATTCTTTAAATGAATCTATATCTCTTTATGTTTTCTAGAACAAACTTTGAAATGTTCATAATATTATTTCATTTATTTTAATTCTTACTTCTATTATTTCACATTGATTAAGACATTACTTGTCATGGACAGCATTTCTTTTCCTTTTTTTCATACATACATTTCAATTCAATCAGGCAAAATAACGAGATATATCGAATGTTTTTGTATGCTCCTTACGTTTTATTTCAGCAAATGTCGTACATTTCTGGCAGGAGAACTCTGTCTTATTTTTTTTACAAACTGAAAATCAGAGTGCAGTTTATATAATTTAATATACATGTACACGTATGCATGAAATCAAAACTAAGCTTAATTTTTGATGTTTTTTCCTGTTTAAATAAATCATTAATTCTTACTGTAGCATAAAGCAGTAAATATGATCTCCTGTTTCAAAAAATCGAAGAACCCACGTTTACATTGAAAGGTAAGTGACCCTGCAATGGACAAAAAGGAATTATATCAAACTCCTTTAGTGTAATATAGTGACATATAACAGTATTAAAATTTTATGATTGGTTTAATTCCCCCAAAATTCTACCTTTTTCGGATTTGAATGCTATGCATTTTTTACATCTTGGAAATGTGACACCAACGGTACAATCTGTGAAGGAAATACGTTACTTAGATAGACATATTTATTTTTAATAAAACACTTCAATGTATGTTTTATTCAAAATATTGTACTCTCTTACCTGCACACATATATGGAAAGGTCATCGCAGACATGCTCAAACTTTCCAAAATAAGCATGATTTTTACTGAAAGAAAAATTGTATTTCAAAATGTTTCTGTATTTCTTTTTTTAAAGATATGTTTTTCCTTACTTCCTTATTTGCCCATAGAATTCTCTTCACTTCTTCAAGGAGAATGAATTTATTTCCCTATCATAAACCGTGTCTTTCAATTAAAAGCCATTGAAAAAGAGTGATGATGATTTTTGCTTTCTTTAATGACCACAACGTTCAAAGTTGTCAAGATATAATATTTTAAAAAGTTTTTCCTTCAGAATTATTTTAACATTCCACGTTGAAGCAAAACTAAGTAGATCTGTCGATATTATTTTGTGTAAATAGTTTTATCGATGCTTGAATGCTTATCCAATTGATAATAATGATTAGTATGATTTTAGTAATGATGAATTATTTGTGACCTTTATGTCAAAATTAGTAATTGGGCGATTCAAGGTAATAGTAGTTTAAAAGCTATGTGGACTTATAACAACGATACAAAAATTTGACCTGTATATCCCCATGTAAGAGGGGATGTGACATATTTTTTTTTTTTTGCTATTAGAAAAACAATATTCTCGGATGAAATGTTATTCAGTATTGTTGACATACCCAGTTATAAAAAGTGTGTCTAAAGACCAACCGAAGAACCTGCTAAGAAAACAACATTTTTATCACATCCAATTCTATTCGAATTGGAGGCTTTTATCGAAGAAAGTGTAAATTTCCCATATTACAAAATCCATAGATCCGCCTATAATTCCTATAATCAATTAGAGTTATTCCCCCTGAGTCAACTTCCGTTAATCCTTTTTCATTCACAGACTATATGAATGAGGTTGGTGCAATTTTAAAGGATAAATTTTTGCAAATTTAGATATTTAGAAAAATACCCTCCTCACCCAACCCTTATTCGAATAGATTTTTGCGCTGTGTTTTTCTTTCTATTGCAGCTGTCCTACAAAAGGATCACTTAATATCAAATGGTACGGCTGTTACAAGAAAAAGTCTACCTGGAGACCAACTTAGATGAACTTTTCGCAAACCTTGGCCACTGCTCCTCCCAGGGCCAATGTTTCCTAAACAGTGACTGATATATAAACGACAAGTACAGAAGGCACATAAGCGGCATGTAATTCGTAATAAATATATCGTAAATATCACCTCTGGCGTATAAGCGGCATTTTGATATTATATTGTAAGCTTTGACCTCTGCACCTCCCAGGGTCAATGCTTTCTATATATATATATGGTGAACTTTGAACTTTGATGTTGTGAACTTTGAACTTTTGATGTTGTATGAACTTTGACTTACCACTATATGAACTTTGACCTTTGGTTATGACCTTGATATATGATTTGCTTTGATGTTGAATGTTGTTTGTGCATTTGATTGGGGCATGCTCTTGTCTTGGCTGCCCATTGCCCATATGATATTGTTTGTTTTGCATTTGAAACTAAATAACAGCCGTGCCCATAATATCGCCACACTTTAATAAAATTAATTTCAAGTTACCATTTGTTTGAGTTACACTTTTCTGAGATAAATATCATTTACAGCGAACGATGAAAAAAATATATATATATTTTAGCAGGAAACTTCGTAATATATTATTATACACATCTGGTCAATAGATGTATGGGAGTTTGTAAATGTCTGATTAAATTGATAATCATCTTCAGTATTTTATACTGCAGTTATTAATATAATTATAAATATATGTAGAGATTCAATAATAATTGCTTAGCCTTTACAAGATAATATTAAAAAATGAAATTGTTTATGGGAGAAACGACGGTCACCATGAAAAAATGACATAATATCGTTAAGTACGGAAGCCCAATAGTGCAAACGAAATTATGAAATAAAGAAAAACAAAATTAATATATAAAGAAAAACGAAATTATTAAATAAAGGAAAACGAAATTAATATATAAAGAAAAACGAAATTATTAAATAAAGAAAAACGAAATTATTATATAATGGCAAACGAAATTATTAAATAAAGAAAAACGAAATTAATATATAAAGAAAAACGAAATTATTAAATAAAGAAAAACGAAATTAATATATAAAGAAAAACGAAATTATTAAATAAAGAAAAACGAAATTATTATATAATGGCAAACGAAATTATTAAATAAAGGAAAACGAAATTAATATATAAAGAAAAACGAAATTATTAAATAAAGAAAAAGGAAATTAATACATAAAGATAAGCGAAATTAATATATAAAGAAAAACAAAATTAATATATAAAGAAAAACGAAATTAATATATAAAGAAAAACGATATTATTAAAAGTAGAAAAACTGAAACTAAAATACGGAATTTATAGAAGTGCACGGTAAGGGTCTGAACCCATAAATCATTAGTGCACCGCGTCTGATGGACCTGATTTTGTTTCGACAATAAACGAGCGAGATGTTTGCCTTTACACTCACCTTTTCCTACATCGAAAACATATCCATTACAATTCATGGATGGGGAGAATTTAACCTTTGATATCTAATTGCACAACTATTTAAGAAAACATGAACGTTAAGATTCCGTTGTTTACAACTCGTAATTGTTGAATTTTTAACATTAAGGAAATTCCCTTATCCATTATTCAACTATCGCACAATACATTCATTAGAAAATGCTGTAAAATAATACGTTATCGATCGGACTTGGGTTTGTTTGACATTATAAAAAATTGTTTAAAGAGAACAGGTGCAAAAAGTAAAACAAGTCAAAGAGGTTACAAGAAGTAGATTTTAATGATTGCTTACTATATTAGAAGTAAAGCAAATCACCTTCAGTTGATTCCTTGGTCTTATCAACGCATAATTAGAGGTGATGTACTGGCTACTAGTACTTGTTCTCACATATTATAAATGTCAAACTCTCAATCTGTACTATTTATAAGTCAGTGGTACTATAGTTCTTGTTCTCATATATTTTAAATGACAAACTCTCAATTTGTGTATTTATAAGTCGGTGATATTTGTAAACAAACAATGCACACTCTTGTAAATAACAAATCCCACAAAGTAATCAAATCATTTTTCTTTTTATAGTTTAAACAGCCTAAGATTTATGTGTACACAGATCGGACGCTAGGTTAAGTTCGTGGGAATCCAGTAATACGATACGCAACGTCTTGACCTTTTGCGATTCAAGTGCTCTTTTGAATTGGATGTCATTAATTTTAATCAAGCAGAAACAGCCACCCTCATGATCCTCTATGCAAAATGCCACACATTAACAAATTACGTATACCGTTAAACAATTATTGACAATTTACTTCAAACATTAGATTGAAGTATTTGTTTCAGTTGATATTTTCTCTTTCTCCCTCACTCTCCTTATTATTTAATAATTTCGTTTTTCTTTTTTAATAATTTCGTTTTTCTTCATATAATAATTTCGTTTTTCTTTTTTTAATAATTTCGTTTTTCTTTATATAATAATTTCGTTTTTCTTTATATATTATTTAATAATTTCGTTTTTCTTTATATATTAATTTCGTTTTTCTTTACTTAATAATTTCGTTTTTCTTTATATATTAATTTCGTTTTTCTTTATTTAATAATTTCGTTTTTCTTTATATATTAATTTCGTTTTTCTTTATTTAATAATTTCGTTTTTCTTTATATATTAATTTCGTTTTTCTTTATATATTTTTGGTTTGCAACTTCCTTGTTGTTAATATTTTCTGTGTTCTCATGTGTATTATATTCATGTAAAAACCGATACCCATATGTACTTTGTTCATTTCAAGTAATCCGTCTTTATTTTCAACTCTTGGTACAGATCGAAATAAAATCAGAAAAAATGTTTTTCGCGCAAGCTCATTTTTTTTCATTTCTAATAAGTCATAATTTCTTTTGTAAAACGGTCATCTGGTTCCACCTCTGCATGTGATTAATTATTACCTACGTTGAAACATTCTTTATACATTAAAAATAAAATCATACTACAGATAATTTTAAAACATACCTGGTGTTTTGAACATTTTTCTATTACAAGGTAATATTAAATTTTCTTGCTAAAAACTCCTTATGCAGGAATTTTATATGCGAACATTAACGGAAACAGGAAGTTTAATTTCTAATTACGTTATGTGCATCTTTTTTCGCCGAAGCATCAGTTGAGTTCCTCTTATCACAATTCGTCTGCCTCCGTCTTTCCGTCCCTCATTCTAAGCATATTCTAAGCTGATTTAGGGGATTGAGGGGAAGGTTGATTTAGGCCACAATAGGCTTGGTTGAGCGACCTCTTGCTTTTTCAACATACACAACTTCTCTAAATTTGTCAAAGCCTTTCCTCAGAATCAATGTAGTCTTGATCATTTTGTTAAAAACGATTTTTTAAAAAGAGTTTCGCTGTACGATTTCCCTTATTTATGCGGCAATATAACCTCATCACCTGCACACGGTGTTTATATATATATATATATATATATATATATATATATATATATATATATATATATATATATATATATATATATATATATATATATATATATATATATATATATATTGCCGTAATTAATTAGCATAATTAATTCGTTCAATTATGTAAATCGCACTTCACCCGAGTATACCCGATAGACCGGACGCATTTCATAGCGGTCCGGATTTCTTTCTTTGTTAGTGTTCTTAAAAATTTCCAATTCAACATGTAATTAAGTATGTAAATATCTAGTGTTTGGTAGTTTAGTAGTAGTGCTAGTTGTTTTTGTTTCTCTTTTTCCTTTGTTCTTATGACTTTTTAACTTTTTTTCTTTGTCCTGAGGAAGGGACAGGGCGTCCCGAAAATTTGACAATTTTTATTGTTCGTGTCGTTGGTCATTTTTAGTGCTTTATATAATTTTCCATCCGTGACCTTGTATCTACTTGGTAGATCCGACATTTAGGATATACAGTGTTGTTGGTTTTTTAGTGCTTTTTATATATATATATATATATATATATATATATATATATCAGTTATTGCTAGTTCATTGTTTATATACTTAACTTACGACATATTTTTTCGTTATTTCCCGATTATGACAAGGATAGTGTAACTGGTCAGCAGGGGATGCTCAATCCTCCCTGGCACCTGATCCCATCTCTGACGTTTAATAGGTCCGTGTTTGCTCAGCTCCTATTTTGTATTGTTTTATGGACTTTGATACTGAATACTTTTCATTATCTCCATATCTTTCAAATATTAAAAATTTACGTTAATTGAAAATAATTCATTATTTCATGTATATACTAAAGGTTTTTTTTTCATATAAACACACTGCAAAAAGAGTTTGAATGTTGCGGATTCCTCTTTAAGCAACATTGAATTAATTGAACATATTTATATAAATTACCAAGGATAAAACCATACAGATATTTACCTTGATGTTTTAGTATAAATTTGGCTGAAAAAAATAGAAATTAACTTTCTTTACAACTGCAAACAGAGAAATAAATGATAGCCATTAATAATCTTCTATCATAAGATAATGATCATAATTGCATCATCAATATCGTACAAGACACTATCAAATATCACAATTGAACATGCATTTATTTCTAATTCAATTTGAAAGCTGACCACGTTAAAAATTTCCTTCTTGTATTTGAAATAAGTATCAAAGCATGGACTAAGGTTTGTTATTTATGACGCAAATGTTCCTGTGTGTTCATAGATGTCAGTTTCCTCCTTTATATTCATCCTATTTAAATGACCATATTCTCTCGGTACTCGTGGAATAGATGTGCTAATCCCCTTGTCCTTGAATGGGTTTGACATTTGAAACATTGGTCGAATTTTCCTAAAAACAGACAAAAAGATTTCATGTAAATATGTAATGATCTTAGTATTATTTAATAAATATTGTTATATTACCATGTTTTGTAATAAAATGTACATGTAAATTAAATTTAATATTATATTCTAATAAAGTATTTTATTTTCGTTAATTTCACTATAAAGTACACTGTCCATATTTTTTGTTCGCCGTCCAGTTCTCTAGGAAAGTTATCTTCATCTGTCCGATTAGGATTCTGTGTATCTTTGAATACTCTTCTCCTGATTAAAAAAACAAACAATATAAGTAACTTTGTAAAGATTGGAGCCTCAAATGCAAATCTTTATGAGACGTTATTAATGATCATATAACCTTTTCTGCAAACGTTTTCGTCTATGTATGCAGATAATTAAGAAACCTGTTGCAGTTGATCCATATACCAACAATAGTCGCTCCGACGAGATATTAATAAGAGAAGGCTAAACAGACAAAAAATATCTTCAAAACCAAATATTTTAAAGATTAAAATAAGTCTACTCTTTAGTTCAAAGCATTTTGAATTCTCAAGCAATATTTCACTGCTTTAAGTTTTTTTAAATTACATCTAGACAGGAAGATTTAGTACGTTAGATATTAAATTTGTTTTTATACCCGCACTTTCTAAAGAAAGTTCGGGTATATTGTTGTTACTCATGTCCGTCCGTCCGTCCGTCTGTCACACTTTTCTTCCCTGAACTCGTCCTACATTTTACACAGTAGCTTAATCATCTTTTGGGAGATGGTTGGTGGGGTCATGTAGATGTGCAGTAAGGTTTTGGAATTTTGATTTTGCCCCGGGGGGTCAAATGGGGGTCGAAAAATGACGTTTTTTTTGCAAAAAGCCCCGTCTTCCCTGATCTCCTTCTACATTTTACACAGCAGCCTAACCAGCTTTTGGGAGATGGTTGGTGGGGTCATGTAGATGTGCAGTAAGCTTTCGGAATTTTGATTTTGCCCCAGGGGGTCAAATGGGGGTCGAAAAATGATTTTTTTTTTTTAAGCAAAAAGCTCCGTCTTCCCTGAACTCCTCTTACATTTTATTCAGCAGCCTAATCATCTTTTGGACGATAGTTGGTGGGGTCATGTAGATGTGCAGTAAGGTTTTGGAATTTTGATTTTGCCCCGGGGGTCAAATGGGGGTCGAAAAAAGATGTTTTTTTATGCAAAAAGCCCCGTCTTCCCTGAACTCCTCTTACATTTCACTCAGGAGCCAAGTCATCTTTTGTGAGATGGTTGGTGGGGTCATGTAGATGTGCAGTAAGGTTTTGGAATTTTGATTTTGCCCCGGGGGGTCAAATGGGGGTCGAAAAATGACGTTTTTTAAGAAAAAAGCCCCGTCTTCCCTGAACTCCTTCTACATTTTACTCAGCAGCCTAACCAG